AGCTGCGCCAGAGCCGTGCGGGCTGGGCAGACCCGGGAAAGTGAGCCGCGGGTGTACACCTGCCTGCCAAGCGAAAGAGCCGGGCCGACCCGAGCTTGGCTTCCTTCCCAAGTCTCTCCAGCCCGAACCCAAAGGGGCCACCGGGAGAGGCTGCCGAGGCAGTGATAGCACATCCATGGACAGGGAGGCAAGGCGACGGCCTGCGCCGCGTCCTCCTCCGAGCTGAACCCTGCCAAGTGAGCGCCTCTGCCCAATGCCTGTGCCGCTGCAGCATTTTGAGCTGCCAGCGCATTTGGACATGCATGGGGATGGGGATGGGGATGGGCAGGGTGAGGGGTGGAAAGGACGGGCGGCTTTGGGCTCTCTTCGCCAGCCAGGAAAGCAGCACTGCCGTCGCCTTGCCTCCCTGTTCGCAGACGGGTGGGCACTATCATTGCCTCGGGCAGCCTCTCCCAGTGGCCCCTTCGCGTTCGGGCTGGAGGGATTTGGGAAGGAAGCCAAGCTCAGGTTGGCCCGGCTCTTTCGTCTGGCAGGCAGGCGCGCACCCGCGGCTTGCTCTCCCGGCTCTGCCCAGTCCACCCGGCTCTGGCGCGGCCCTGGCAGGATGAGCAGAGGGCCCAGTGGGGAGGCGCTCGCTGCCTTGGCAAGAGCTCCACCGCCAGGCAGGAAGGCCCGCCTGTCAGCTGGGCTGGGCACCCCAGGCGAAGCTCTTCATGCTCTGCCCGGCGCCAGGCAGGGATGGCGGCTGGGCGCTTCTCTGGGGTGGGCTGATCCTGCACTGCAGCCCCAGGAGATTCGCTTCCCCACATGGGGTTGAGCTGCCCTCTCGGGCAGGGGAGGCTTTGTTGTACCGGTAGTAGGACGTCATTTTTAAAAGAATTGGCTTTGCCTTTGAAGACGAAGGGAAGGCAGTGACAGGAACGCCTGAAGCCGAGTGTCTCCACCAGACTCCGGTTGCAGGGAGGAGCCCTGGCTGGCCGCGCGTGGCTGAGCCAAACGCTGGCAGCACGGGGAAAAGGGACAGCAACGGTGGCAGAAGGTCTCCCAATACAAAGTGCCCTACCAATGCTGAAGTCAATGCAGGCAGCACCATATCCTGGTATGCAACAAAAGTACTTCCTAACGGCAAGCCCCCCTGCCATTCCCCGCCATTTTGCATGTTTAATATAGGCCTTAATTTGTGGGGAGGGGCTTAATTTGATTTTATACCTATAAAACATGCTGGGACTTTCTATTGGGGGAGGCCGTATTGTTGGAGAAACACGGTATTCTCTCTTGTTGACAGGACTTAGGTAAGTTTGTAAATTTTACAACATTTTATTTCCTTTACACTAAACTACAAAGCATATGGGGAGTTGCTCCATATAATGACAGTTTAGAAATGGGAATCTTATGCTGTTTTTAAAGCACTCTCATTCCCTCAGCTATCATAGATAATTATAAATAATTTATAATTTATTTTTATTCAATAACCATTGTAAATATATGGAAGACTAGAAAGACTTGAGCCAGGCAAACCCATACTACTGATTCAAGGTCTTTCAAATTTAGAATTCTAATAGTGATAACTGTTAATACCTTATCTTGGCAATTAGCATATACTGTTCGTTACAAAATGAACAAAAACAAACAAGACATCTGACCTAAAGCAGCTCTTTCCTTTCCCTTCTGCAAGCAAACATATGTTCTAGCTGGAATAGAAATTTTATCCTTCTCTAATTATTAAAGTATGCAAAATGACTAATTTTCATAGCCCTACACTATGTCCATCTGCGTCCCGTTTTAATGTAGAATGCAATACTATTTCCAGAATCATTTCACCTAACCTGAAACTATAAAGTGTTGATTAATGCTATTTTTTATTCTTTTTCTAGTGCATGTGTCCATTAATGTATGTCAGAATCACTGTATTTTAGGTTCATCGTCCTAGACAGATGATTGTATTTCTCAACTTCCAAAATCATCATCTAACAAGTAGAGAAGACTGCTCCTATACTTTCAGGAACTATGGAAACAGCTATACAGATCCACAGATTCCCAGAGCGAGTGACAGTATATAATTGAGTGGGAAAAATAGTGTGACTGTCCAGTATAAGCACTAGTTATTTTGTCTTTTGACTTTGCCCCACCCAATCAGGGTGTATTTGCTGCCAACATCTGATTTTCTTCTCACCAATAATGGTTCAAAAAGAAGGCCAAAAGAAAGAAAATATTTTCTCCCTTCCACTGTTGAAGAAATACAAACCTTGCATCAGGATCCGACAATAAATCTGGAGAGAGACTTAAGCTTTTGGAGGCAATTATTAGTTTACAATCCCTCAACACACATATTACAATTACAATTGTGGGCTTAAAATAATAATTTGGATATATTAATAATACCTAATACCAAAGAAAACAAGTTCATGGCTTAAATAAAAGGACTAGGTTTCAAAAGAGGAAGAATGAACAGAGCATAATGGATAGGCCCATCTCAGATGATAATTAGGCTTTAAAGAAATGCTGCCAGGGAAGGCTTGATTTGATTACATAGAAAAGAAATCTGACTTCAAATATCACTCTCATCTACTTATTTACAGCACCTAAAAATGGGAGAGAAAACTGGTGTTTTTTTACTCTATCTTACAATACTTTATCCCACAACTTCAATGTTTTTTTCTTTTCTTTAACTTACTGGAGGCTGGAAGAATTGGTAAAAGATCAGATTATGGCTGCATTCTGATAATAAACAGAACCAATAGAAGTTTGTTTTGTTATAATATCAATCTCTAGTTTTAGCTGAAATTTACAAAGATACCAACATAAAAAATCCTTTAATCTACTAAATATAATATTGCACAATTATTATTTTGTATTATCTTCCATGAATGAAGACAAATGGATCCCGTATTATCTTTTCCCATAAGGTCTTCTAGACTTCATTTTTCAATGTGACATCCCAATTAACATCACCATGAATAAATGTGCTCCATGGTCATTTTTATACAAATTTAGTCTATTCGGATGTTCCAGATCAGTGGTCACCAACTGGTGGACCACGGCCCACCAGTGGTCCGCAGCCCACTAGTTGGTGACCACTGATCTGAAAAGAAAATTTTGGTGGTCCACAGAGAAATGTCACCCCCAAAGCACCCCCCAAAGCAATTAATCCAGGCTGTGTGGGAACACAAGGCTTGCGTCATTTGCATTGCAAACAACATGAGGTAATGAGGGAAGGGGGAAAAGGGCAGAAGGGGAGAACTTGCCCACTCGCCCCACGCACCTTGCCTGGCTACAGGGCTGCATCTTTCTGCTTCTTCCTTCTGCTTTGGGCTGCACGCAAGGAAAGCAGCAAAAGTCTTTCTTTCTCTCTCCCAAACACTGCCAGAAATGAGTCTTTCTGCAAGGCATCCTGCTCCAAGAGGCTGCACTGGCAAAGACTCATTTCTGGCGGAGTTTGGGGGAGAGAAAAAAAGACTTCTGCTGCTTCTGCTGCTTCCTTGCATGAAGCCAAAAGTCTCTTTCTCTCTCTCTCTCCCCCTGAGAACGGAGCTAAAGATGGTACTCTGTGATCCCAAATAATGATCGATCGGTAGGAAAACAGAGTGGAGAATTTTCCTGCAGACCAGAAGCCAGCAAGGAAACAGCAGAAAAGAGGAGGAAAGGAGCCCTAAAAAAAAGGGAGGAGAAAGGACACCAAAGTCGGGGGGGATGACTCCCCAAGGAAGAAGGCAAGCTCAGAGCGGTAGAGGCTGCTCTTACCAGCAGCAGTCTGAGAGGGATGAGGCAAGGGAATAAGGAAAAATGACCATGCAAAGTGCCCAGGCAGTGCACCGCAACTTCTGGACAAGCAGACAAAGTCCCATCTGTTGCCATTGCTGCTGTTTTTTCACTCTCACTTCCAGAGAGCGCTTCTGCCACCATTGAGCAGCCCAGCGCTTGCTCTGCCACTGTGCCTGGATTGATCTGGTCACACACACACACACACACCTGCTCTGCCTCTCAGCCCAAGTTAGGAATCTTCTCCAAATGCCCCGTGTTGACAAAGAAGGCATGGCTGGTTTGGCTGGAGAAATTGCTTCATGGCTCTTCCGTCCTTTCTTTCTCCGCTCTCTGGCCTGCCCTATGGAAGGACTCTTGCAGCCATGGAGCAGACCGGTGGCCCCTGCAATGGGATTGCAACTTTATCGGAAGAGCCACTGGCCAAGAAGGTAGGGAAACAAAGACCCGGGCAGGGTTTTTAGGGTTTTGCTTTCCAGTTCTCTAGAAACTCAGGTGCAGCTTCGGTGGCAAGCCTGGCAGCTGTATGTATCCCAAGAACATGTCCTCCTCCTCCCTAAATCTAAAAAAGCACAGGTTCTGAGCTAGTAAAATCGGTGTTTAAGTGAAGTTCAGAAGCCTGTCTATATCAACTGTCAGCCAGACCAGGATTTCCAACCTTGGCAACTTTAAGCCTGGCAGAGTTCAACTCCGAGAATACCCCAGCCAGCTTTATTAGTGATCCATGGAATTTAAAATTATGAGTTTGCTGGTCCCTGAGGTCCAAAAGGTTGGCGACTCCTGTTCCAGATTGATATATCAATTGGAACTGATACTGAAGTATGCATTTTTAGAATGCTATTCACAACTCCAAATCCACGCCCAGGTACCCATACGTATGTTATAAACACATGCACTAACAATGCATCTCCTAGATAAAATACATTGTGTGCATATAAATATAGGTTGATGTTTAATTAGATGGTTGATTCTCAAATGGAAATGCTGGTATGCAGTTTTGATTGGAAAACTAAGATTTTGAAGAATTCACTACTCTCAGTGAACTGTAACCTTAGTTACAAATAAGCAAATTATTTTGACAAATTATATAAACCTATCATCATCTTAAATAATAATGAATTTGCAGTACACATAGATTTACTGCTACTGTGGCAATCTGACCAGGAAAGAAAGCCTTAAAAAATTAAAATTCAGGTCACGTAAATTCTTAGATTTGATATCTAGTTGAATTTCACTCTCACCTTTCACTTGTTCAGAACACAGCTCCTTGGCTTTGTCTTTCATTATTTTTGGAATCAAAATATCCTTTTCTACATGTCTGAGCTTTGGTTCCTCTGCAAGAAAAAATATACATAATATTTCCAACCATAGATAAAAGTCATAGCTGAATTCATAGATTAAGATGCAACATGTGAAGTCCAAAATTCTGAACAAGAAATAATATAATTTATATTATAGAGTTTTAAGCTATTTTTAATTAATCATAACTTTATTTTAGCAATTCAGAAGTTTCACTGATATTTTACTACTCATATATTTGTAAATAATATATCTAAGAAGGCCACTGGCTAGGATAATCCCATTTTATCTGCATACAATTTCTGATTTCACTATATCTAAGCAGCAAGCAATATATGAACTCTGACCTTGCCAGTCAAATTCTACTGCAATACACTAATCAGTGTATCACTTAGGTTCATGATTATTCAAAAATAACAGGGTTTTCAGAACTATAATCCAATAAATATATTAAAAAGGTGATATAAGAACAACTATTTTAATTAAATACAATGCAAAACATTACTCAGACCATTTCCACTATTTTAGCTAATCTGATACAAGCAGAAGCATGTATTGTAACATTTGAAGCTATTACTTACTGAAGGGAAGGCTGAAAAAAATTAAGTGAGGAGAGCAACAGCAGTCACAACTGTCTTTTAGTTTCCAAACCTATAATGCAGGAGACCAGAAAAACTTCTTTTGATGACCACTAGCAATGCCTTTGGCTGCTTCAAAATCTAGGAATTGAAGTTCCTTACTATATAGAAGACATCACTTGATGAAAGCAGCCTTAAAGGCTCTCTCATATCAAATCAAAATGTCAACATCTGTTGAGCTCTGACTTAAAAAGACAGATTATTCCTAACTAAGAGTACATTTCCAGAGAGAAATCTATTATCTGCTACCTGTTTCTTTAACTGAAGACCATAGCAATAGGAAGACTCTAAAGCTGTCTCCATTATGTAAACATTTGCTCTATTTTAATGCAAAGTAATCCCCCTTTAAAACAAACAGAATATAATGTAAATTTCAGCTTATGATTCACTGGGATAAATGAAAAGATAAACTATGCAAAACATTTCTTTTATTATTATTTTTTAAATCAACTGATCATATAAGAATGAGCTGGGAAACGATAGATTTGGATCAGTACATACAGAATTTCAAGTCAGTCTCATTTTAAACTAATTTATAAGAAATTTATATCATGGCATTCTTTAGAAGAAAATCCATTGTATCAGATAATAATACTTTGTTTCCTCCTCTTTTAGCACATTGCATTTTTATCTGGATTAATATTAGGCTGCATTTGAATAAAGTAGGAATGTTGACTCACTTCTGAAAATTGAAAAAAGTCTTCATTTGCTTTGGAACATTTTAAAAGGATAGAAAAGTTACTACAGTGAGATAAAAGTAGGCCCACATAGAAAACAGCTATTCACTTCACGTCTACCGAGGTTAACCCCAAGAATGCATGGAGAGAGGAATGGTCAGACCGTTTCTTGCACCTTGACCATTAGTTATTTTTCTCTACCAAATTATTGTATTTTAATTTGGCTCGCTCTGTCTGGACAAAACTGAACAGAATTAGATGTCACACTGGAAAAAGTGCCTCTCTGCCTTGTGTCAATGGAGCTGGAAGGATTCCCCTATTGCAACTGTGGGGATAATATGCAAATTATTAAATATATTCTGCAAAACTGCCCACAACATGCATTTTCTGGTTCCTTAGAAGATCTGCATGAAGCAACACCAGAAGCGATTGCCTAGATCGCTGAACTGGATATCCAGTTATAATGCCACTGCTGTACCTCTGTAGAAATTTTGTATACAATTAATATAATAACAGAATTGGAAGGGACCTTTGGAGGTCTTCTAGTCCAGGGTCGCCAACCTTTTGGACCTCAGGGACCACCAAACTCATACTTTTAAATACTTTTAAGGACCACTAATATGTTTTTTTTTTAAATATGATATATTTAATATAAAATTTATAATTCTTTATATTAAATATAACTTTAATATTTTAAAAAATAATTGTGTGTGTGTGTGTGCTTATTTAATTATAACAAAATCGTAACTAATCATAACTGTGGAGCAGAGTGAAGGGAAAGGAGGGTGTTCTCTCATCCTTTGGAGGGAAAGAGGATGGATTTAATACTGCTGGGATTCAAAAGAAACCACATGGTACCTGGAGGCTGGGAAGATCTGGACGGGGAGGAACTGGCTCCCTCTCAAATGGAACTAAAGCAGAGCCGCCCCTAATCTGGTCTCCTTTCATTTCATATCTCCCCCCAAATCAGAGGAAACCTCTCCCTCCTTTGCCAAATGTGACTGCCTGTAGTTGGGGGAGGGAAGGAGAGCTGGAAGCACTGAGGAAGATGGGCTCCTAATAATCAGGCAATGCGCCCCCTTTCGGCCTCCACACAAGAGGACTCCCCGAGGCTAAGCTCCAGGTTTCTCCTGCCACTTCCAAGCAGAGAACAGTCCCTCCCTATGTGGAGGCCGAAGGGGGGGGGGGTTGAGCCCAGAAAAGCTCAAGTTCTCGTCTGCACAAACAGGCTGGTTATTAGGACCCCGTCTTTTTCTGTACTCTTTTGGTCTGGGCATTTGGTCTTCCCCCCGCCCCATGCCAAAGGAAAGCCAGCCAGGCTTCTCCTTCCCTCCTACCCTTCTCTCTGCTCCCTTCCCCCCACTTACTTTGGGACAGAGGAAAGCGCACTGGAAACATATGTTGGCATTTCCAACACGCATTACTCTGGTGCTTGCCCGCAATTCTTTGTGTTTCTCCAAGCCTGGCTTGCTGAGGGGAGAAAGCAGCCCTGATGTCTCTGCTGCCCCCCCACAGCCCCAGCCATTGCTGCCTGGAGGAGGCACAGGAAAGCAAGCAGAAACAGTTCTCGCTGGGGTGAAAGAGCGGAGATCGAGGAAGGCACAGGCAACAGAAAATGGCGCTTTTCAAAGGCGACAGCTTGCATCTTCTCTTGCTTATACCTTCCTTGATCTCAGATCTTTCGCCCCAGCAAGAGCTATGTTTCTGCTCACTTTTCCTGTGCCTCCTGGGGAGTGATGGCTGGGGCCATGGGGGGGCAGCAGAGCAGAGCGCTGAGAGGAACGAGAAAACTGTCAATGCCCCATTCCGGACCTCTGAACTGGATGGTGAGCACAGACTTGCCCAGTCTACCTCCTCCCACCATCACCAGCCAGTACTTTTCCTGCCCTGAGCCGTCCCTACAGCCCGCAGCCAGGAGAGGCAAGCTGGAAGGTGCGGGAGTGCCACACAAATGCAAGTACCTGCATCTTCAAGCCATCTCCATCACTTCAGCCTGCCTGTGCCGCCAGCCCCTCTTGCTGCTACAGCACAATTACTTCATCCTGGCTGGTGAGGGCTGCACTGCTTTTTGCAGGTTTGCGCTTGGCCAAAGGGTGGAGGCCAGCGGGTAGGTGGTACAGCATTATGTTCCCGCACAGCTTGGATTGCTTTGGGGGATGCTTAGTGGGGACATTTCTCCGTGGACCACCAAAATTTTCTCATGGCCCACCAAACCCCTGCCCAAGAAGGAGATCTTATACTTATATAAAATTAGTGATAATTCCTTTTTTCCTTTCCACTTATATTTCTGTTTAATTAGTATTAGTAACAAGTATCAAGTGTATTAACTAAGATCCATTTTAAAGATGGGACATATTGCTCCAATCTGTTTTGTTTCAGCTCCATTTTGCCAATGAAGCCCCTTCATACAATAAACAACTGTAACTCTTGTAGGCTTTGATCAAATAAAATATAGTAATCTTTTAGTCATCTGTTGTGAGAAAGGAATAGCTACTGACAATTAGATGATCCTTGTTCTCATTTTTTTTTGTTAAGACATCCATGTGTTATATAGCATTAATAACTGTGTGAGCAAGTAAACCAGTAGAACTTGGTGGATTTAGGAGGACTGATTTCTAAACCTCACTTTAGTGACAATTTTTGAGATAAAGAAGCATTTTATCAAAGTAATGCTTCTACATGCCGAAATCTTTATAAAGACTTTTTTAGTTGAAACATGATGTAGCTGTCTTAGATCACCAGGCAGCATCTGAGTAGTTCTGGTAGATTGCTTACCTTAGTCAAGCATCAGACCCAAATGATTCTGTTTAACAATTTCACTGCTTTATTAGTCTTGAATTTGATTAATAATTACGAAACTAAGGTGAATTACTATGTACAATTGCTTGGGAGTTAGTTCTACTAAATTAGGTAAGATTTCCAAATGCACGAAGATAACAGAACTCAAATTCTAAGCAGTTTGTTTCATTTTCTAGCTTAAAATTCTTCAGAAAATTGCATATATTTCTATTATCCTTAACTTTTAAATTTTGAGATTTTACTATTTTACATTTGCATCAATTCAAATTAAGAGAGAGAGCAAGAATGACACTACCAGGAGAAAAAAATTCAAAGCTTAAACTTCTCACTATGCTATCATCACCTTGAAGTCAATTTTCACCTTTTTCACTGGCTGAATCTGTTATCTTACATTTTGCTTTGGGGCTCATGTGTTCTTGCAATATAGCAGTACTGGATTATGAGAATTCTGACAAGCATGTTTGCAAAAAAAAGTCACAATGCTTACATTCTTGAAGGTAGAAAATCAGATTCCAAACTAATTCTATAACAACTGGTGAAATAAATATATGACTAGAGATTGAGAGAAACTATACAAACAAATCAATGACTCAGGTTCAATCAAATATAAAAGTGAATAAGAATAATAATCAAAAGAAAAATAAATATATCAATATTAATTCTTACTTTTGCAGATACAGTACTGTCCATTCAACAAGAAACAAGAGATCAGTCAAACCTTTGAAATTAAAGGAAACTACAATAACTAGAATACAGGGACACAAGGGAAATTATGGGGATCACAGCTAGCAAGAAAAGAATTCAACTTCCTTGCATGCTACTTTAATGTAAGTTCTCCTTGTGTTCAGTATTCGTTAAAAAGCATTATCTACACACCACACAAAATATTAGGTCAACTGGCTTCCAATCACAGAGATGATG